GCACAGCAAGTGGGCTCAGCTCCTACCTATTTCACCACTATCTTCTAAGACCTTTTTAATTTCACAAGGTGTCTTTTTATTTTTAATTTGATCCTATGGTTAATTCATTCATTATTTAATAACATGTTATTTAGCTTCCATGACTTTGTGTATTTTTTCAGTCCTTTTATGATTGATTACTAGTGTCATAGCATTATGGTCAGAGAAGATGCTTGATATGATTTCAGTCTTTTTATATATGTATTTATCTATTTATTTTTGTTTCATAAATTACTTTATTGTTGTTCAATTACAGTTGTCTGAATTTTCTCCCCACCACTTCCCCCCACCCCATTCAAGCCCACTTTCTTCCCTTTCTTCCACCCTCCCCCTTGGTTTTGTTCAGTCTTCTTAAATTTGTTAAGACTTGTACTGAATTGTAACATGTGGTCTATTCTAGAAAATGCTCCATGTGTACTTGAAAAGAATGTATATTCTGCTGCTGTGGGATGAAATGTTCTGAAAATATGAATTAAATCCATTTGATCTAGTGTGTCATTTAAGGCCATTGTCTACTTGATTATCTGTCTGCATGATCTATACATTGAAGTTAATGGGATGAGTGTTCTAGGAACCCATCTGTATCAGTGTACTAGCTGTGTTCGACTTCAGTGTTTTGTTTTGTTTTGTTTTGTTTTGTTTTGTTGAAGACCTTTTAATGTATTTGTCCATTTCATGGTACTTGATTCACCAGCACACCTGTCCACACTGTTCTAATTGTACAGCAGTTTTTGACCAAAAATGGAATGACCCCCGTGCCTTACCCTAACTATTCACCTGATCTCGTCCCAAGCAAATTTTTTTTTGTTTCCCCAAAGGAATAAAGTCCTCAAACAGAAAGGTTTTGCCAATGTGGAAGAGGTGAAACAAAAAATAGCAGTAGCACTAAAGGTCATCAAATCAGTGAGTTCAAAAACTATTTTGAACAGCAGAAAAAAGTCTCAATAGGTTTATTGCATCAAATGGAGAGTACTTTGGTGGTGAATGAAGTTTAAACATATAAAGATAAATACACAATTTTTTATAAATAAATCCTGGTTTTTGGGTGTCCCCCCCCATATTATTTATTTCAGATATTGCATTCTGAACATATGACTATTTTTCTGTGGTTTCTATGTCTTTTTTCATACTGTTGAGCACCCTTATAATCATTACTCTAAATTTTATGTTGATAAATTGCTTGCTTCCATTTCATTTAGTTCTTCTGGAGAATTCTTTTGTTCTTACTTTTGAGGACTATTTCTTTTTCTTCCTATTTTGGTTTCCCCATTGTGTTTGTTTTTATGTGTTAAGCAGGAATGCAAAGACTCTGTTGCAGCCCTATATCAAATGCTGACTGACCCTGGGCAACCTTTTTGGAACTATTAGCAATCCACACTAATAGTTGTGTGGGAGTTGTGTGGCTCCCTCTGCTGGGCCTGGGTATGTGTAAAAAGATCCAACCTGTGTACCAAGGCTGACTTTCATGAGCACCAGGGTTTGGAAAGGGTCACCTATAGTCTCAAATCGCTCAAAGATCTACCTTCACCTGCCAGCTTTCTGTTAGGTTAGGCAGTGAAAGTGCCTCCATCAGTACCACTTAGCAGAGCTTAAACTCCACAGGGATTCCTGCAGGTGGGACTATTGCTTACCCTCAGGCTGATGCGACTTGGAAGGGAGAGTTCTGACTGTGGAAGTTGGCTCTGGGCATCATGGGGAATGACTCAGCACAGGGATCCTGATGGCTGACCCTTCAGCTTTCTCCCCAGAGCCACCTACCCCAGACTCTTCTCACATTGCTCTAGTCTGTTCTGCCTTTCCTCAGCTGGAGCCCAAGGTAAGTGGCTGCAAACAAAATTTTGTGTACTCTCTGTGTCTCTAGCCATCTCTCTAGCAGACAAAAAACCCGCTGCTTTTCACAGACAGATGTTATTTGGGTTCTTCCCTAGTTCTGGTGCTCTTAGCTGTGGTGCCCAGCTTGGAGTTTAGATCCCACAATTCTCAGGTGGACTACCTCCCCCTAGCCACTGAAATATCCCTCTGGAACTTTATTGCCTGTGGGAGCCCTGGCAACCATCTCATACCTATCCGATTCCTGCCAATCTTAATGTAGTGAATGTGGTTTCTTCTGTAAAATCCTTGGTTATAAGGCTTTTCTCCAGGTATTGTTCAGTTGATTATTCATGATGATTTTTCTATAATTGAGTTGTAATTCCACTTTGGTCCTGGGAGGTGGTTAGTATATAGCTTCCATCTGCTCTGCTGCCACCTTGGGTCCCTTAGTATATGTTCTTAGAAAAATTGTTTCATGTAAGTTTTCAGTTTTATTTGGATAAAGTTATGCAAGTTAAAGAACCAATTTGTATATTTATTTGTTAGTTCTGTTTTTTTCTAAATCATTAATACCTTCTTCCTCTCTTTTTTTATTTTGGTTTACATTTTTTCTCCTGATCCTATAAGTTGGATATTTACTTCATTTATTTTTATTATTTTATTTGTATTGGTATAATATTAAATGATTTGAATTTTTCTTGGGTCTCTATTTCAAGTTGCATTCCTTAGATTCTGACTTCCCTTGTTTTCCTTATTGTTCTTTTTGTTTTTAGTTATCCTGTGATTTTTATCAATATTTTCATTTGAACCAGAGTTATTTAATTTAAAACATTTGCAGGTGAAACGGCTTTTTGGATCCACTTTGTTGTTAGTTTTAGTTGTATTGCATTGTGATTGGATGATTTTGTTTGCATTATTTTTTCATGGCTTGTACTGTGGCTATTCCATGTACACTTGATAAGAAGCTGTATTGTCTGTGTGAGCAATATTTGCTAAATAATGATAATATAAACCTTACTATGCTCTTTAGAGCTTATTTTTCATTCATTTGATTGAGAGTGGTGTGTTAAAAAGTTACCTGTTGTTAACTGTATCTGTTTCTCCATGCATCTTCCTGGTTTTTCTGCCTTGTAAAGAGATGGTTGCTCTGATAAATAGCACATAAATATTTGTAACTGTTTCATCTTCATTTGGAATTGTTGCCTTCAGGATTAAAAAAAAATCTTTTTTTTTTTAATTTCATTTAATGCTTTTTATTCACTACCATCCTTTTCACCAGTATTTCTGAATCATGATTTCTGAATCATCTCATGGAGGAATTCATCTTCCAGTAGATTCTTTATAAACAGCTTGCATCTATAATGTTTCATGAGTTTTTATATAACAAAAGCTGCTTTTCTATGGTTTTACAAGATGCACAACTTGGCTAGATATAAAATCCTTGACTCACACTTTTTTTTAGTTCCTACGAAAAAGAAATCTCTGTTTGGCTTTGTATGGTTGTCTCTTTTTGATTAGATTAAAGTTAAGCATATTAGCAGAAATATTATATAGGTGATAGTGCTCTTCTCAGTGTATTATATTATATCAGAAGGCACATGATATCTATCCTGAGTTGGATTTTTTTTCCCATTTCAGGTAGACTTTATTTTATAAAGCAGTTTTGAGTAACAGCAAAACTGAAGAAAAAGTACAGGTAGTTCCCAAATATACCCACTGACATGTGTGCAGAGTATCCCCTACTGTCAGTATCCACTCATAGTACTGCATTTGTTATAATCGATGAACCCATATTGATATATCATCATCATCCAAAATCCATGGTTTATGCTAGTGTTCATTTTTGGTTTTATATAATCTATAGATTTTTGATGTATGTTGGCAAGTATCCAATATTATATTGGGTTCGCCAGAAAGTTCATTTGTTTTTTGTTTAAGATGGCTCTAGTAGCACTTAGTTGTCTTTAACTTACTGGAAACAATTTTGTTAGATCGTATTGTCTGCATGAGACATGATGCATAAATGGGTGTGTTGTCATAATGAAGCTACCAATCACCAGTTGCCCATAGCTGCAGCCTTCTGAATCATCAAAATAGTTTCTGTGGAGGAATGTTCAAACTTAAGATAAAATTTGATGCAGCTTCATTGCTGTGCTCACTCAGTCATTTTAAAGCCACACAGTACACATGTTCACTCAACAGCATCTTCTGCCCCACTGACTATAGTACAGTGAGGTCATCACTGTTCACGCATGCACATTCCATTCTACTTTCCTTGGCTGCCAGCTTACATCAATGATGTGCAAACCATTCTCATTATATTAACAATGATTGGAATTTTTCCGGACAGATCTTGTATATACAAGGCATGGTGCACTACTGTATTCACTGTAAAATTATATTAGATACAAAAAAAATGTTTAAGGTTATGCCATTCATCAGTTTCTGATTCTGGATAGCAACCTGATATGGGCTATACTGTAATGAGCTTAAAGCAATACGTCTTGATAAATCTGTATTTTTATAGTATAGGAATTGGGACTAGCAGGAATTATCTCTTGATACATAGAAATAATTTTCAAATATTATAAAAACCACTACTGTGTTCACACCATTGTGCTTTCACACCTTTATGAAATGATATTGTTCTTACTTAAATGATTTTTAGACCCTTCTCTCAGAGAAAATAAGAAGACAGATGATTTTAAATGTGTTGAAAACCTTACCTTCATAAACCAGAAGGATCCAGAAAACAACTGTTGGGATATTTGTCTAATACCAGCCAAGCTGTCTCAGAATTAATTGTGACTACTACCGGTATTTCTTTTTATGCTTAGCGTAACTGAATAGCATAATTATTTAAGCTTTTTAGAGGAATTTCTGTTTCAGTTAAAATTTCAATTAAAACATATTTCTGAAAAACGTACTTTTTATTTAATCAGCACAATCTGTGTTCATGTTTTATATATCTTAATTTTTAAAATGTGAAAGTGCTACAAGGTTCTTAAACTTACATCTGTGTGACATTTTTAAATTAGAAATCTATTATTTTAAAGTTTCCCATTTTGATTGATAAAGACCAATGCTTTTTCAATTTATTTTATATTCATACTTAGTGTTTTAATATATAACTTTATTTTGACTTGTAGTGTATGCAGAGAATATTTCCAAAATGGTGGGAAGAAAAAAGCACTTGAAAAAGATAAGAAAAGAACAGTACTTGCCACTAAGACCACTCCAGCCTTAAATACACATGAGTCTTCTAAACTTGAAGGTCATTCAACCAACCTCAACTTTACAAATTCTGAAATTATAACTGAGTAAGTATACTTTTTCTAATTTCAATTACTAACATTTTCCTGGGTAGCTGTGTTATTATAAAATAGTGTGATGGTTTACCAAATAGTGTGCAGTATGCTTGCTCCCCTGGTAATATGTTAGCCTGATAAATGCAGATATGTAATATTATGAGGTAGAATACCAGCATAAAATTTTAAAGGATATCTGGAAAACTAGAGGTTCTATAATATAGATTGTTCTCACCAAAAATGAGAAAGAATAGTTAATTAAATGTTTGAATAATTATTCTTATGGTAACACAAAGAATCAAAATAGGAAAATCTAATTAAATTACGTTTACTTTAATGTTGCTGTCCACTAAGAAATCACAAATAAGGAATGGTGAAAGATTAGTAATAGAACCAATTGCCATGATTTTACTATTCATAGGAAAATCTACCTGGTAGTAATCAAAGTATGCGTGTAGTAGGTACAAATTTTATTTAATGAGTATATTATTGTTTTTCTAGTTTTATTGAGATATAATTAATGTGTAATGTTATGTAAGTTAAAGGCGTACAACATAATGATTCAGTATGTGTATATGTTGTGAAATGATTACCACAATAAGTGAACATCCATCACCTCAAATAGTTAACATTCCTTACCTCACATAATTATAAATTTTTCCCCTATGATGAGAACTTTTAAGGTCTACTGTCTTAGCAGCTTTCAAATATGTAATACAGTGTTATTAACTATAGTCATCATGTTTTACAATATATCCTCAGAACTTATTTATCTTATAACTGAAAGTTTGTACTTTCCACTACCCTCTCGCTACACTCGCCATCCCTGCCTCTGGCATCCACAAGTCTGATCACTGTTTCTTTGAGTTTGATATTTTTAGATTCCACAAGAAAGTGAGATCACTCAGTATGTGTCTCTCTCTGTCTGACTTACTTCACTTAGCATAGTGCCTTCAAGGTTCATGCATGTTGTTGCAAATGCAGGATTTCCTTCTTTTAATGGCTAAATAATATTCTGTTTTGTATATATACATATAAGTATATGAGTATTATAATCCAGTTAATATTAGTAGTGTTAAAACTATATATACACCCTTGTACCAGAATACATTTGTGGTTTCAAATTATATTTTATTAATCTTTAAAAATGCTAAACTTGAGTAATTCTAAAAACATTCTTTGAAAGCTAGCCATGAAAATAAAGTTAAAGTAACCTCTTAAAGCAGTTTGAAGTCTGTAGATATTAACAAAATAACCTTTGATTTTATTTTAATTTTATACCATATTGAGAATATTATCTAGTTATAAGAAACTTCATTGAAAAAAATAACATACCTTTGATTAGTTCAGTAGGAAAAGATAACACATCTTTACCTCTATTTAAAGGTTACTACAAGGCTTACAAAGCATAATGACTGACTAAGCATCCCATAACTCGAGCGTTATGAATTTTTTTAAAACGTTGACTAGTGTAAGAAATTATATTGCTGTCAAAAATAGGTACATGTGGAAAATGTCAACCATAGAATTTCTGTACAGTTCTTTTTTTTAGTCTCGTTTCATTGTTGAGATTACCTTCTTTATTTAGTCATTATATTTTCCTTTAATTCTTTTAAACACAGTTTTGTTAATTCTTTGAATATTTTTATAATAGCTGACGTGCAGTCTCCTACGCCAACATTTGGTCTCTTTTTGAGTCTATTTCTATTCACTGCTATTTTTTCTTCAGTGCAGACCATACTTTACTGTTGCATGTCTAATACTGTTGCATACTTTACTGTTGCATACTTTACTGTTACATACTTTCTTTGCATGTCTCATAATTTTTTGTTGAAAACTGTTTAATATATTTTTGTTGGTGGTGGGGTTTTTTAGTCATTTGCCTGGACTTAATCTGTGGGATCTATCTCCCTTGTAGTTTATATGTTACCATCTTTTTTTTTACTTTTTGGTTAGTTTTTCTGGGGTTCATATCTGTGTTTAACATGGCTTTAGTGGTCAGTGATAAGACAGAGGTTGTGCTGAAACACCTGTGGAGCCAGTAAGGCTTCTACCCTCTGCCATCAGATGTGTGTTGACTTGGGAGTGTACATAAAATCCAAGCTGTTTTCAAGTTGGCCTCACATTATACTTTCTACTAGGCCCTTTTGTGTATCCCACAAGTTTGTTTAGCCTCCCAGTCAGCAAAGGCTGTATAGGGAGCTTATGTAGCCCTTCTATGCATCTCTCATTCCCAGAATCTTTTTGTTAAATTTCTAACTAGTCCTTCAGTCTATATAGTTCAACTCTGCCAAAATTGCAACCTAAGGCTAGCATAGCTGCTGTCCTTTCCTGTGTGTTTTCTGACAAGTTTGCTATTTTTACTGTCAGTGCTCTATTTGAGTTTTTCACACTTGCTCCCAGTCAGCTTTGCCTCTTCCAGTAGTCAAGCTGCTGGTTTTTTATAGCCAGGCTTGTCCTTTGTGAACTTCCATAACAACTGAGCAGGGGTGGAGCTGGTGGGAGTTGCTTCAGGCAAGGGCACCACAAATTCCCAAGCTCAGTTCAGATGGTTTTCATAAAAATACACTTCTCAACTTAATTGCCCCAGGATGGTTGTATTTGAGGACTGTGTTCAGTTTTATAGCTGTTTCTTGAGAAGTTGGATTTGCTAACCTCTTCTCTACCACAGGCAAGAAATTCCTGTTTTCTAGTTTCATTTTAAAGGAGAAAAATTAGTTTGGTTATTTAAGCAGTTAAAGAAAAGTGTCCAAATAACTTAGCCTAGGATGGTTAGACTTAGGTTTTCTTCATTTCTGAAAACTCTGGACTTTTTTATATAGCATCTGGCCCTAATGTGTGTATAAACTTATTCCTCCTACTCTACCTACCATTCTTATAACTTGTATTGTAGTCATATGAAACTAATTAAGTTCCTCCAGTGGTACATGCTAGTTCTCACATTTTGACAATTGCAAGTGCTATATGTCCTTTTCTTGATAAACTGTTGCTATATTATGTTAGGCTATATGTGAACCATCTTTTCTTTATAGAACTTGAACTTCTCAAAAGAATTGATACCAGTATTAAGCCTTTTTATACCTCTATTGTAGTACTTACATTGTATTAAAATTACTCTTGTATATTTTTCTGACTACAAATGAAATAAGATGACAGCATGAAAAATATGTTTGTAGAGAAGATTAGAGATATAAAAAATCATTATTCAATTATTACATTTAGGAAGATTTCTAGTCTTTTTAGTAGGCATTTTTTTCAAGTACAGATTATGTAGTATAAAGAACTTTGTGAACTCCTCCCATGAAATATAATGTTCCTTTTAAAGCATTATATTTCATAATAAAAATCTACTATATGTATCCCAAATACAAAATAATACTCAGTTTTTCCAAAGAGAATCTGCCCTCCCTTCCTACCACTATCTCCGTTTTAGAGAGGTAGATGTATTAGTCAAAATTAAGATGCTTGCTCTATTTATTTATAAATATCATTATATGAAAGATATGTAATCCTTACTATCTAATTCTGTTTGACTTTGAGTAGCAAGTTTAAATAGGAAGGGTTATCTTTTTCTCAGCCTTACTTCAAAATATCTATTTAAGTCATTTTGATTTCTGGGTTTAGATAGCAAAGGCTCACATAGCATAGCATAAATACATTTTTTTCACTTACATTTTATGAAAACCAAATAATAAAGCCAAATGTTTATTACTACTAGAGTTACTTTTTAAGTCATTCATGTCTCATAATTGAGATGTGATACATTTTGAATCTGTATATAATGTGATTGTTGGAAATTTTATCCAAAGCACCAATTACCACCCATTCCTTCTAACATTAGTATAGCTGTGTCCTGACCCTTTTACATCTTGTATCTATATAATAGTAATTGATGTAAAATAAGTATTACTTTGTGACCTAAAAATTATTTCTATTTTTCAAAACAATCAACAAATAGACCATATTCTGGGCCACAAAATACATCCACTGGGTGTCTTGGAATACATTCCCTGTGGGTGGGGAAGTACTACTACATTAGAAAAGAAGAAAGATTTAAAATCAATAATATAAATTTCTCCCTTAGGAAACTAAAAAAGTAAGAGCAAATTATCTCCATAATAAGCAGAAAGAAAGAAAGAAAAATTAAAGCAGAAATCAGTGATGCTGAACATAGGAAAACAATAGAAGAAGTCATTGAAACCAAAAACTAACCATGAAGAGGGCCATTACTACTGATCCAGTAGACAGGAATATTCTGAATAACTCTCTGCCTACAAACTTGATAACTTAGACAAAATGTAAATTCCTTAAAAGAAGCCACCTATCAAAATTCATACAAGGAGAACTAGATAATTTGAATAGTTCTACATTTATTAAAGAATAATGAATAGCCTTTCAAAGCAGAGAGTACCCAGCCCTGTTGGTTTCACAAGGTAGATCTACCAAATATTTAAAGAAGAATACCAATTCCCTACAGTCTGTTCCACAATATAGAATTAGAGGCAACACATCCTAAATTATTCTTTGAGACCAGAGGAATGTAGTGTAAGATGCTGAACCAGTCTTCTTTTTCAATCTAAAAAAATTTATGTGTTTGACTGGTGGTATAAATATGATTAGATAATGACTATGTTATCATCTGTTTTGGAGGGAGGTTAAGTTATGATCTTTTGCATGTGATGTAACAAATCTGAGGCTAGAGGAGACTGGAGAATTTAGTTGTCTCATGATGTTGCTTTTGAATTATGATCACTATTTTTAAAAACTTGCCAGTTAAAATCGTAAAGGTATAATTCCCTGTATAATTACTAAATCAGTACTAAATATCTTTGCTTCTTTTTGTGGGGGGAGTGGGGAGGTTCATTAAGTGGCCATCATTTTAAGTCACTTAAAGATAGCATTAGTTTTTCCTGAATAGTACTTTTTCATTCAAACTAATTGAGAGGGCTTGATACTGTAGAAACTTTTTAAGAACTCAAATATAATGCCCTCTTTTTTGAAGGATAATATGG